TCGGTGCCACTAGAGGTCGCACTGGAGCATCTCCGACCATTTTACCTTCTAACCACAAACAGCCATAATATCACTATCACTCTCCACCAGACTCCAGAGACAAAAACACTCATTTTACCTTCTAACATAATAACTTCATTCAAAGTGGACAGAAACAGAATCAAACTGATTAAAAGCGTCTCTGTTAGTGTTTCCAACAATCACCAACTCTGGTTTGGTGGAAATAAATTCTTAATTCACCGACGTAGATGATAAAATATTCATGGTCTGACGTTGTTGTGATGTTAGCTACAGTAGCAGAAGACTGTTAGCTAACCCACAACATCGCTAACATTAGTTACACTACTAGCTGTGTTGTTGTTCGCTCTTTATCGTTGTATATGATGAACGCAATGTGGTGGAAGAAAAACAGACAAACGACCGACGAGTTTATCTAATAGATTAAAGTGTTGATTCAAGTTTAATACTGTTAATATGTTTATAAATTTATGTAAAATTAGTGACATTAGTCGCTTTGACTGAATAACAGCATGTTAATGTGTTCAGGGTGGGACTCTTATCACACAGATTGTTTATTATTTTTTCTATTGTTTGTTTATTAATTTTTATGGGGGTTTTAGAGAGAGAGAGACAGGAGAGAAAAAAAAAAAAAAAAAAAAAAAAGGAGAGGAGGGGGGGGGGGGGGGAGGGTTTGGAGCAAAGGGTCACGGGTCTGATACGACCCTCCTCACAGCAAAGGGGGCCAGATCTACCAAGGACACCCCAATTGTTTATTTTTTAATGAGGAACAAGCTCTAAAGGCTGGAACTGAACCTTCACCTTACAGCTGCAAGGCCACAGTGTTACACACCGAAGCACCTGTGTGGCCCTACGACACCTGTTGTCCTGTGTCACATCCAGGTAGATTCATTTATCTCAGGACACTTTTCAAATAGAGCAGGTCTAGACCGAACTCTTTCTAACAGTTCCTCTGAGCTACCAGACTAAACTTTTTTCATTCTGGTTTAAAATGTGGGGAAACCGAAGCCTCTCGGACTAAACCCGTTGTCGTTTCAGATAGTACGCGTCTGTGTCTGTCCTATCCAACCACCTAGAAACCACCAAAGATTACTCTTTGCGTCCGAAGCAGGCAGTGAACGGCTTGGCCATGGTGCTGAAGAGACGTGAGAAGAATCTGTTCACGCCTGTCTTCTTCTGTGGTGTCACCAGATGTTGTGTCAGTGTCTCAGTTATGTATCTGTAAATAGATGCATCACGGGACAGCAGGCACATCTGCAGGATCTCTGCGTCGCCTGTCTCCTTGCACAAGTCTTTGTGCACCACCTTGGCGACCCTTCTGAAGTGATGGTCGCTCGGCTTTGCAGAACCATCGGAGCTTGCGATCTGTTCCCAAAGCAGCTCCACCAGAGACCTACTGATGGTTCCAATGTCGTCGCAAGTCAGACGGCCGTCCGGATTTTTATGGCTTTTCATAATTTTGTTAACCAGTGCAATGACCATTAACCTGCAGCTGGTTTCGTTCCACCGATGTGCTGGATGTGCTGTGGTGTCAACCACAGCACATCCAGCACCACTTCACCAATGAGCACTTCACCAATGATTGGTGACTCAACGGACTGAACGAGGGGGGGAAGGTGGTTTTGCTTTAACCACCAAAGTGTCTCCAACCCTATTGCTGATCAGTAAATCAACAGACTGAACGGGGGCGGAACGTGGTTTTGCTTTAACCACCAAAGTGTCTCCAACCCTATTGCTGATCGGTGAGTCTACAGACTGAACGGGGGCAGAACGTGGTTTTGCTTTAACCACCAAAGTGTCATTAACCTTATTGCTGATCGGTGAGTCTACAGACTGAACAGGGGCAGAAGATGGTTTTGCTTTAACCACCAACGTGTCTCCAACCTTATTGCTGATCGGTGAGTCTACAGACTGAACGGGGGCAGAACATGGTTTTACTTTAACCACCAAAGTGTCACCAACCTTATTGCTGATCAGTGAGTCTACGGACGGAATGGAAGCAGAAGGTGGCTTTAATTTAACCACCAAAGTGTTACCAACCTTATTGGTGATCGGTAAGTCTAGGGACTGAACGGGGGCAGAAGGTGGTTTTGCTTTAACCACCAACGTGTCTCCAACCTTATTGCTGATCGGTGAGTCTACGGACTGAACGGGGGCGGAACGTGGTTTTGCCTGAACCACCAAAGTGTGACAAACCTTATTGGTGATCAGTGAGTCTACAGACTGAACGGGGGCAGAAGTTGGTTTTGCTTTAACCACCAACATGTCTCCAACCTTATTGGTGATCGGTGACTCTACAGACTGAACGGGGGCAGAACATGGTTTTGCTTTAACCACCAAGATGTCTCCAACCTTATTGCTGATCGGTGAGTCTACAGACTGAATGGAAGCAGAAGATGGTTTTGGTTTAACAACCAAAGTGTGAGAAACCTTATTGCTGATCGGTGAGTCTACGGACTGAACAGGGGCAGGAGGTGGTTTTGCTTTAACCACCAACGTGTCTCCAACCTTATTGCTGATCGGTGAGTCTACGGACTGAACAGGGGCAGAACGTGGTTTTACTTTAACCACCAAGGTGTCACCAACCTTATTGCTGATTGGTGAGTCTACGGACTGAACAGGGGCGGAACGTGGTTTGGCTTTAACCACCAAAGTGTGACCAACCTTATTGTTGACAGCTACCTCCTGAGTGATAGAAGCTGATTCTGAGAAAGGGGTCATGCAGCCACTTCCTGAAGAAATTTCCAGAAACTGACGAATCTCAGCCAATCTCACCTGAGACTCGTCAGTTTCTGTCTCTTCAATGAAAGGAAGTATGGGGGTCTGCCACGACTCCCTGGTTCCAATCAGTGCACTGTCCTTTCCTGTGCAGTTTTTAAGGATTCTTGCCACATGTTGGACCATCGTCTTCAGTCTGTGGGTGAATGAACTTGAGACGAGAGGTTTACTACCCTCCTCGCTGCCTCCACCCCTTCCAGAGCTTTTGGAGAGCTCATTCACTCTCTCTGTGACCTCTGCAACCATGGTGTCTGTTACCTTCTCCATGCTTAGGCAACTGATGTTGGTGACCCCGCTTGCCTCCGAGAAGGCCAGTAAGATAGTGTCACCCAGACACCCGCGGACATCGTCTTCAGAGATGCTTTTGGAGGATTTGGAAGTGTCTGTCCTCTTCAGCAGGCTCTGTTTGTACAACCCGTAAACATGTATGAATATAATATTGATTATATCCACACACATATTATTAATAACATCCTCAGCCTTCTTATCTAGAGTCCCTGACTCCAGCAGCGACCACTGTACGGTTGTCAGCTGCTCTAGGCTCTGACTGATTAGGGCGTGAATACTCTCCACTGTGGCTTGATCCATCTCGTCGCTGTTTGTATCTTTGAATCCGAAGTCCTGAAGAAGTGTCCTGAAGAATCTGAAGTGAACCAGGTTGGATTTTGATCCTAGATGTAGATTTTAAGAGAGAATGTTCGTTTTTGAATCAAAGAAACATTCTATTGGCTTTGATCTTTGAATGACATCATGACATTCCGATGACATCACAGCAAAAGATTAAAGAAATTAAAAAAACTCAACATTCCGACATTAAAACGTTTTAAAAATAAACAAACAAAGTATTTGATTGATTTAGTCTCTGGTTATTAGAAAGAATAGAAATTCTGGTTATTAATTACATTTTTAACTACAACAACTTTTATTAATAGCTATTAAGTTGAAGGATTTGGGATTCTGCAGAGGAGGCTGGTATCATCCACTCTTATTTAAAAACACATATATACCCTCTAAAAACAAAAGTTTACATGAATCTTTCTGAGTTATGACAACTTCTAATGAAATTATGTTCCACAAAATGTTGATATTTTTAATTACCACTTAATAATTGGTAGCAAGTTCTTTGGTTGATTAGGCTACTCATAAAAATGAACTTAGTTTGTGAACATTATTTATGTGTATAACACAACTTATTGAAATAATGTTTGCAACTTAAAAGGTTTATATAAATCAGTACACTTATAACGTTTATCTTGCATTAATGCATTAAGTGGTAGTAATCGGTCCACAGAATTACTTTTTACAGTGTTTTTTTTGCAGTGCAGTCTGTGAAGTTAGCATGTTAGCATGTGGTTAGAAAGTGATATTAACGATGTACATTACTCGCAGAAATATGGGCAATGTGTGAGCACATGGCAGCTAACATTAGCTAGCTAGCTAATTAAATTGTTGACAATTAATAAAACCAAGTAAACCTGTTGAATTGTACGTGTTCTGTGAAACGAGTGCAGGTTTAAATAAATACATTGTGCATGCTGCTAATGTTGGTGTGTACTTTGAGTTGAACAACGAACAACTCTTTAGCAGGGAGTAATCAGTAAAATAATTATATTATTATATAATATAATCAGTAAAATGAACTGAGACTGAATCTGTCTGAATATTAAGTCAGAGAATTGTATAAAAAGTTCCCTAAACAGGGAATAATCTGCTCAAACATTCATCCAAATCTCCGGTTTTAAACAAATGTCCTGCAGTTACTGAGTTCACTGTTTGACTTCATAGTTCAGTTTTAATATAATATGAAATATCCATAAAATATGTCACTGAGTCAGTTTATTAAATGTAGAGAAAAATAGAAAATGGTTCCCTAAAGGGAAAAGGTTGGGAACCAGTGCTTTAATCTGGCTCAGTTGGCTAATGAGCTAACAGCATCTAACATTACTGTTAACGACAGTTAGCTTCTTCTATCAAGAAGTCCATCAGGAAACTCCACACAGCTGTCGTCAAACTGTCCTCTGTCTGTCTCGGAGGTTGTGTTCCCTGGGAGGCTGCTGAATCGGTTGCTAACGCTAACGGCAGCTACATTAGCGATTAGCTTGAGGATGTCAGAGGGAAAACCAGAAAATATTCTCTTTATAAAATATGATCCAGTTTCACCCAAATCACTGATAAAGTTTGTTGTTGTACAGTAATCAGTGAGGTTTTGGGTTTTCTTTTGTTATTTCCTGTTTTATTTTGTAATTCAAAGATGAAATATAAGTAATCATAAAACACAGTTAAAGTATGACAATAAAGAAATTCAAACACTTACAAGTCAGACATCATAAAAGTATTTCGAGTGAAAATATGTTTTATAAGATTTAAAGCAGGGAATGTGCTGATCTCCTAGAATCTTGAAATCAATCGTGAACCAAACTGACAACCTATGAAAGGAGGAGAGACTCTGAACGATGTGTGACCTACGAGTCAGGAGAACTCATAAAGGATTTAACTTTGGTAATGTCTGTTAGGTGGAAGTATCAGGATTTAATGAGATTGTTGATGTGTGGGTCAAAGTTCAGTTGATCTCCACTGGCTGCAATAAAACACTCACTGACTTCTCAGTTGATTCATGAGCTCAGTAAACAGTTTACTGATGAGTTTCTGGTCTCAGTCTCTAGTTTCAGTCTTCTTCCATACAGCATGATGTTCATTTAGTAACTGATGGTCCCATTTAGAGTAAAACAGACCATAAAGCAGGGTATGCTTTAGGGCGGGGCTACCTTGTGATTGATAGCTCATTCTCTGTGAGTCCGTCCAGCTCAACGCACCAAAACAAAAATTAAAAACAAAATACACTATAGACATTAAAATACACTAAAAGCACAAGAACAGATGGAAATGCAGCAAACTCAGATGTGAGTGATCAGAATCAAACATTATTATCTGATTAGCTGCAGAAAGTTACAGGTCATCTCTTTCCTAATAGCAGTTAAACTGGAAACGTAGATTAGTGCATCGTCAGCATAGCAGTGATATTTATATACATTTATTTGAGCTGATTGTCATTATACAACCAGGCTTTGTAAAATGAGCTTGTATTTTTCCATTCTTCATCTTCCTGTAAAGTCTTTAAGTTCCTTCTTCATCTGATCAAACTCATCAACGACCTTCTGACACTGATCAGCTGACTGAATGATGGAGACTCTTAACTTTTCATCCTCTTCAGGGTTCGCAGTGAATCTGAACACTTTCACAAACAACATTAACAGGTTACCTATGAACCCCAGCACTGCTACAGCTACATTCACAGTTTCTTCACTCCTCTTCCTCAGTTCAGACACTCGTCTAAGGATCCACTGAAACTCCTCCACCCCTGACAGAGTGCTTCCAGCCTGAACTTCAGATGATTTTTTCTCCAACTTTTCACATGTCGTCTTTATTTCTGTCAGGTTGATCTTCAGAGGTTCAACAAGCTCCACGAATTCTTTCCCCAGCTCTTCTACTTTCTTTGCACTTCCGTTCTCTTTTAGAGTTTTTGTTACGTTCACACCAACAACAGTAGCTCCTCCCCCTACTGCTGCTGCTCCTCCTGCTGCTGCTAGTGCTAAGCTCAACCCCCCAGTGAACGGAGCTGCAAAGACCCCAATGAGTCCGAGTCCGAGTCCGGCTCCTGCAGTAGCAGTTCCTGCTGTTCTGGCTGTATCTGTTCTCTCCTGCATCGTTTTTATTTCATCAACAATCCTCATAAACTCTCGTACAATCTCTCTCATTCTTGGTTCTTTACAGTCAAATTCTTTGATGAATGAAGCTGCCTCTTTAATTATTCTGTCCATTAATTCAGACAGATCAGGAGGGAGTTCTTTGCTCAGTCTTCTTGTTGGACCAGAGGCCATTTTGTGTTGGTTCTCCTCAAACTGTGATCAGCTGATCAGAAACTCTGTGGAAACACAAAGAGAGATAGGAAATACTCACACAGGTGTAAAGTGGATCTGCAGAGTCCTATTATTATTATTATTATTACATTATTATTATTATTGTTATTATTATTGCCAGTGTGATATTATTATTATTGTTATTATTGATCACAGTATATATTATTATTATTATTATTGAAGTGTATATTATTATTATTATTGATCACAGTGTATATTATTATTGTTATTATTGATCACAGTGTATATTATTATTATTATTATTATTATTATTGATCACAGTGTATATTATTATTATTATTATTATTGATCACAGTATATATTATTATTATTATTATTATTGATCACAGTGTATATTATTATTATTATTATTATTGATCACAGTATATATTATTATTATTATTTTAATTATTATTTTTTTTATTATTATTATTTTTCATAGTATATATTATTATTATTATTATTATTGATCACAGTGTATATTATTATTATTATTATTATTGATCACAGTATATATTATTATTATTGATCACAGTGTATATTATTATTATTATTATTATTATTGATTGCAGTGTATATTATTATTATTGTTATTATTGATCACAGTGTATATTATTATTATTATTGATCGCGAGTGTATATTATTATTATTATTAATTATTATTATTATTATTGATCGCAGTGTATATTATTATTATTATTATTATTAATCACAGTGTATATTATTATCATTATTATTATTATTATTATTATTATTGTTGTTATTATTATTAAAACAATGAGGTTGTTCTTACCGTTGGTCTGCAGAAGCTGTGTGAGGCAGCAGGCGAAGAGACGAACTGAGCAACTGAGCATGCTCAGAGCAGAGGAGACGCCCAGTCTGAGAGCTTTCTGAAGTTGTGTGATAAGAGACAACTGAAAGTGAAAGTTACAGACGTCCTGAAAAAGACAACAACCAAAGATTAAACTTTATTTTAGATTTAAAATAACCAAAGCCAGTGACCCTGAGAGCAGCACTGATGTATTGATTATTGATTAATGTCCCTTCAGGTTATATGAGCTGCTGTTGAACTGTGTTCTGGTTTGTTTAAAGCAGCCTGTTCTGGCAGAATTCCATCGTCACTGAACGTCTGCTGCTGGACCTCAGAGATAAAATGAAGATGGTGTCTTCACCATCCTAGGAAAAAGAGTCCTACTGAATGATGTTCATCAGAGAGGGTTTAGATATACACAATGCTGAGTGAATGGAAGTGAGTACACCTCCATTAGCAGAGCTCAGTGTCCTCCACCTCTCTTGGTCCACTTCTTTCTATCTTCCCCAGTTGAGCTGTTTCTGTCTGGACCTCCGTCCTCCAGCTGGGCGAGACCCCTTAGTCCCTGCCTGACATCATCACAGTATATACAGTATATATATATACCTGTATTTATCACTTTATCCAGTAGACCAATAATTAATAGTTTAACTTTTATATTAATTCTAATATATATAAGTATATATATACTGTATATATACACATATATATATATATATTTGTTTATATTTGTATTTCCTGTGGATGTAAATAAATACTTTTGGTGAAATATAAATAAATAATAGTAAACTATATCTGCACTAATATAAGCTGCAGGCTCTCTGTATTTACAGCCTGCCGCCACCAGAGGGAGACATTACATCATTAATGTTGTTGTGAGAGGCTCCATCTGTTGAATGTGTGAATATTTATTTTAATGTCACTTCCTGCTTTAACTTATATTTATTATTTATTTATTATTATTATTATTATTTATTTCATATTAATCTTTAGAATTAAATTAACCTGCAGTGTTTATGTTATCTTTATAAATGAAGAGAATTAGAGAGGTTTTTGTGTCATTTTGACCAGTTTGAGAAATGTCTGTGTTATGGATCTGTTAATCCCTGCAGTCGGTGTGAACGACCATAATGTGCCAGTTAGTTCTGGTCTGGTTGGAGTCCATTCAGTGTAGACTGAATGAATCAATGATTGAAGAATTACAGAAACGTTCAGTGGAGAGCAGAGGACAGGAGGGAGTGAGGTTTATATCCCGTAATGTCTTCCTAATGAAAGGAACCGTTTTTATAATCGATTTAAAATCCACGATTTCAGTCAGGAGCTGTCTGTGAGTGAGGGAACCTATAAAGGAGGAACTGTTGTATCTTCACAGGGTCCCGTCTCCTGAATGAGTGTGTGTTTGTACGGTGTTAATAAAGTTGTGTGTTTGTACAGTGTTAATAAAGTTGTGTGTTTGTACAGTGATAAAAAGTTGTGTTTGTACAGTGTTAATAAAGTGGTGTTTGTACAGTGTTAATAAAGTTGTGTGTTTGTACAGTGTTAATAAAGTTGTGTTTGTACAGTGTTAATAAAGTTGTGTTTGTACAGTGTTAATAAAGTTGTGTGTTTGTACAGTGTTAATAAAGTTGTGTGTTTGTACAGTGTTAATAAAGTTGTGTTTGTACAGTGTTAATAAAGTTGTGTGTTTGTACAGTGTTAATAAAGTTGTGTGTTTGTACGTGTTAATAAAGTGTGTGTTTGTACAGTGTTAATAAAGTTGGTTTGTACAGTGTTAATAAGTTGTGTGTTTGTACAGTGATAATAAAGTTGTGTGTTTGTACAGTGTTAATAAAGTTGTGTGTTTGTACAGTGTTAATAAAGTTGTGTTTGTACAGTGTTAATAAAGTGTGTTTGTACAGTGTTAATAAAGTTGTGTTTGTACAGTGATAATAAAGTTGTGTGTCTGTACAGTGATAATAAAGTTGTGTGTTTGTACAGTGTTAATAAAGTTGTGTGTTTGTACAGTGTTAATAAAGTTGTGTTTGTACAGTGATAATAAAGTTGTGTTTGTATAGTGTTAATAAAGTTGTGTGTTTGTACAGTGTTAATAAAGTTGTGTGTTCGTACAGTGTTAATAAAGTTGTGTGTTTGTACAGTGTTAATAAAGTGTGTGTTTGTACAGTGTTAATAAAGTTGTGTGTTTGTATAGTGTTAATAAAGTTGTGTGTTTGTACAGTGTTAATAAAGTTGTGTGTTTGTACAGTGTTAATAAAGTTGTGTGTTTGTACAGTGTTAATAAAGTTGTGTTTGTACAGTGTTAATAAAGTTGTGTGTTTGTACAGTGTTAATAAAGTTGTGTTTGTACAGTGTTAATAAAGTTGTGTGTTTGTACAGTGTTAATAAAGTTGTGTGTTTGTACAGTGTTAATAAAGTTGTGTGTTTGTACAGTGTTAATAAAGTTGTGTGTTTGTACAGTGTTAATAAAGTTGTGTGTTTGTACAGTGTTAATAAAGTTGTGTGTTTGTACAGTGTTAATAAAGTTGTGTTTGTACAGTGATAAAAAGTTGTGTTTGTACAGTGATAATAAAGTTGTGTGTTTGTACAGTGTTAATAAGTTGTGTGTTTGTACAGTGTTAATAAAGTTGTGTGTTTGTACAGTGTTAATAAAGTTGTGTGTTTGTACAGTGTTAATAAAGTTGTGTTTGTACAGTGTTAATAAAGTTGTGTTTGTACAGTGTTAATAAAGTTGTGTTTTTTTAACTTTATTTAACTTTTCAAAAACACACGTTCTCTCAAAGGGAACATAAATTGCATTTATACAACAAAATATTTATTCTCTCTCAATTACCAAAAAATAAAATCTACAAGGCTTTGTTAAATCCAAATAATATAATAATAATAATAATAATAATAATAATAATAATAAAAAGTATACAAAGGATTCATAAGATTAAAACGAAAAATTACATAAATAAAACAAACAGAAAATAAATGCAAGATTACAGATCATTCTCTCTAACTGATCCTCTATCAGCCCATCAATCCTTCATACTAATAATCCTTCATATTCTATATATCTATATATATATTCATCCGTCATTAAACCCAACTATTGTTCAACTCATTTTAAAACACATCAGTGAGGGTTGATGTCATTGCGCCTCATGTGAGCTGTTAAATCTTTTATTTATTCTTATTCATTCTCCTGTACAGCACTGTGGTCAACGCTGGTTGTTTTATTAAGTTGGATTGGATTGATGCACCTTCCCACTGACACGTGTGTGTGTGTGTGTGTGTGTGTGTGTGTGTGTGTGTGTGTGTGTGTTTGATATTTGTGATATTTGTCTAAAATTGGAACACAGTGATAATAAAGTTGTGTGAGTCTCCAGCTGTTGTGTAATCAGTGATGTTGTAACAGATCGGGAGGAGGAGCATCAACCGGAATACAGTCAACCTCCACTTCCTACACACACACACACACACACACACACACACACACACACACACACACAGCTGCTAACTTTATCTATTATCGCTCCTTTCTGCCTGTTTGTGCAGATTTTAATCCAGAAGCTGTCTCACTGTCTGTCTGTCTGTCTGCTGTCTGTCTGTCTGTCTGCTGTCTGTCTGTCTGTCTGCCTGTTTGTCTGTCTGTCTGTCTGCCTGTCTGTCTGTCTGTCTTACACTAACTTCTGTGACTTTAATTAGTTAATGAGCACGTGACTTTGCTCATTAATGTAAACATCTGGAAGAGTTCCCGGACCACCGGGGGACCGCCACCGTTACTCCTGGAGATTTACAGCCGCGATCGAGCGCTGACACTCGGCCGTTAATCACCAGAGCCCCCGCTGCTGTTTCCCGTACTGCTGCTCCCGGCGGGGCGGTGCTAACCGGAGGCTGAGTGCCATCAGCGGGACTCACAGACACAGTCAACACATAGAGACCCGGGATACCCGGGACAACCCCCCCCAACACACACACACACACACACACACACACACACACACACAGTCCAGTCCGACACGGTCCCGATCCTGCCCCGCCCACATCCAGCTCAGCTCCGCCCGCCCGCCGGGACGCTCCGCTGTATCACCCCGACCGGTTCATCCCGAGCGGACAGACACCGAGCGGACCCTCCCGACCTGCTGTCAATGTAAGTCAACCTGCTGCTGGCTTTTATTCTCTAAATGCGCTGTTTTCCATACGGACCCTGGTGCGACCACACGCTGCTGTGGCGGTGGGGTGAATTCGCTGTGAAGTGAAGGCAGTTCGGTGGTTAGTTTCACTCACAGTCGCTCTGAATGAGAGCAGCACACCGATGGGTGGAAATGTTCTCCGGGTTATCCGAGGGAAGACTCGTGGTCGCGGCTCGCTCGCACCGAGAGTCCCGCGCTCAGAACGTCATTAAAAAATCTCTAATTTTATTATTTTTCGGATTTATTCACTCGACCATAAAAGCTGAGAGCACAACTACACATTAGCACTAACCAGCCGGATGTATTCTACTATTCGGCTAACATATATTTCACCAACATGCTCCCAGAGCAACACAAATACAACTTTAGTAAATCCTGTTCCTGTTTCTCCATAAATCTCAAATACACCCTGATGGACGGTGAAAGACAAACATTAAAGTTGATTTGTTGAAGTAAAAGTGTTACTGCTGAATAATCTATGTGCCGAATTTATCATAAGACTCTAAAGATTAATAAAATGTCTTATGATTTGTAAAAAGTTCGATTCGATATTATTAGATGATGAAGACTATTTAAAATGAGCTGTTTTTAAAGTCAGATTTTGTCCCGATGAGGGAGGACAGACAGCAGAGTCAGTGTCCCCCATCGATCCGCTCTGATAATCAGATTATGGTCGATCAGATCAGTTTGGGGACTCTGCAGCGATCAGCAGAAACACAGCTGAACACTGCAGTCCACCTGCCTCTTCATCATCACCATCATCATCCTCATCATCATCAGACATCTGCAGTCACAGTTCTTCACTGCTCATCATCATCACACGTCCCTTTTTAATTAAAACCATAAATTAAAACGACCTGGCACAAAATGTGAGCGCTCATCTTCATCGTCCTCTTCATCCTCATTCAGTATTGAATAAATGAATGAACAGAGGAAACGTTGTCCAGCTCAAAGCAAACACTAATAATCGGACAAGAACAGAACTCCATAAGGAAAACAATCAAATTTAAACCAATCACAGTTTGAACTGTAAACGTGGTTTTTATTTTTAACTTTCAGTGGATCTAAATATATAAATAAATATAATATATAAATATAATAAATAAATAAATAAATAGATATAATATATAAATAAATATAATATATAAATAAATATAATATATAAATAAATATAATATATAAATATAATAAATAAATAGATATAATATATAAATAAATATAATATATAAATAAATATAATATATAAATATAATAAATAAATAAATAAATAAATAGATATAATATATAAATAAATATAATATATAAATAAATATAATATATAAATATAATAAATAAATAGATATAATATATAAATAAATATAATATATAAATAAATATAATATATAAATATAATAAATAAATAAATAAATAAATAGATATAATATATAAATAAATATAATATATAAATATAATATAATATATAAATATAATATAATAAATAAATAGATATAATATATAAATAAATATAATATATAAATATAAAAGTGACGCTGTGTGATGAATGTTGGAACTGTAACTGAGCTTTATGTTGTGTGAGATTTTGTTAAAATTTGTAGTATTTTAGTTATTTAAACTCGTTTTAGCACCAATATCGTAAAAACCCCGAATGTTACCCGAAGTACAAGATCAGATTTATTGATCCTCTGCAGGGGAGATTTAAATTGATTAGCAGAAATATAAAATATAAAGAGTATAAAGGATGAACTCTGTTTCTAATGTTTATAAAGTAAAATAATACTACAGCAGATTTATTGAGACTGAAGTACCCAGAATCCTCTTGAGCTCCAACTGAAGAGACTGTGTGACTGATGGAGCCGCTCTGGTCCCGAATGTCCCTCCTGGGATCCACTAGCTCCGCCTGATCGTCCACCATGACGCTTTATCTCTCCGTCTGCTCCAGCTCCTCCTCATCCCTCCTTCATTTACCTCCCTCCTTCATTTACCTCCCTCCTTTATTTATCTCCCTCCTTTATTTACCTCCCTCCTTTATTTACCTCCCTCCTTCATTTACCTCCCTCCTTCATTTATCTCCCTCCTTCATTTACCTCCCTCCTTTACCTCCCTCCCTCCTTTATTTACCTCCCTCCTTCATTTACCTCCCTCCTTTATCTCCCTCCCTCCTTCATTTACCTCCCTCCTTCATTTACCTCCCTCCTTTATCTCCCTCCCTCCTTTACCTCCCTCCTTCATTTACCTCCCTCCTTCATCTCCCTCCTTTATCTCCCTCCTTTATCTCCCTCCTTTACCTCCCTCCTTTATCTCCCTCCCTCCTTTATCTCCTTCATTTACCTCCCTCCTTCATTTACCTCCCTCCTTTATTTATCTCCCTCCTTCATTTACCTCCCTCCTTCTACCTCCTTTATCTCCCTCCCTCCTTTATTTGTCTCCCTCCTTCATTTACCTCCCTCCTTTATTTCCCTCCCTCCTTTATTTACCTCCCTCCTTTATCTCCCTCCCTCCTTTATCTCCCTCCTTTATCTCCCTCCCTCCTCTGAAGGCCCAGACTCTTGTTGTCTGCTCAGAGAAAGGAATTATGGGTAACTTTAGGTCACGTTCAGCTTCAATAGTCTGAAAATATTCACGTAAAAGTAAAAAAAATAATAATAAATTACTCAAAGTAACAAATTAGTTTTTATTTTAATATATTTTAGTTTGTGATTATTACTAAAATCATTAATGTAACGTTAGCATTACGTTAGCTTAACTGCTAAACACAATTTAAAGCCAACAGACGGCCAGCAACACGAGTTAATGTCGTTATCGTAACGTTAAACTAAAAATATTACGCTAACGTTAGCCAGCAACACGATTTAATATCGTTATCGTAACGTTAAACTAAAAATATTACGCTAACGTTAGCCAGCAACACGATTTAATATCGTTATCGTAACGTTAAACTAAAAATATTACGCTAACGTTACCAAATTTAATTTTTTTTTTAACTAAACTAAAGATATTACGCTAACGTTAGCCAGCAACACGATTTAATATCGTTATCGTAACATTAAACTAAAAGATATTACACTAACGTTAGCCAGCAACACGATTTAATATCGTTATCGTAACGTTAAACTAAAGATATTACGCTAACGTTAGCCAGCAACACGATTTAATGTCGTTATCTAACCTAAATAAAAATATTACGCTAACGTTAGCCAGCCACACGAGTTAATATCGTTATCTAACGTTAAACTAAAAATATTACGCTAACGTTAGCCAGCAACACGAGTTAATGTCGTTATCGTAACGTTAAACTAAAAATATTACGCTAACGTTAGCCAGCAACACGAGTTAATATCGTTATCGTAACGTTAAACTAAAAATATTACGCTAACGTTAGCCAGCAACACGATTTAATGTCGTTATCGTAACGTTAAACTAAAAATATTACGCTAACGTTAGCCAGCAACACGATTTAATGTCGTTATCGTAACGTTAAACTAAAAATATTACGCTAACGTTAGCCAGCAAAACAATTTAATATCGTTATCGTAACGTTAAACTAAAAATATTACGCTAACGTTAGCCAGCAACACGAGTTAATGTCGTTATCGTAACGCTAAACTAAAAATATTACGCTAACGTTAGCTGGCGAGCTACAGTTTCACCTCCGTTAGATAATAAATAATATATACGTTGAAACGTTGAAGTTAGCATTACGTTAGCTTAGTTATCATTTTAAAAGCCCAACAGACGACGAGCCAAACGAGTTAATATCAAAGATTAATGTTAAACATTAAAAGATTAACATTAAAGGTTTGGAGAAATTAATTGATTCGTGGCAGACTTTTTAAATAAACCTTTTAATCTCTGATTATAAAATAAAGTCACAACGCTCCAAATATTACATTTAATGTTAAATATAATATTTGACGTCAGGATTTTAAATTGTTCACCAACCAAACGTTAATAAATGATGTTGTTTTTTAATCTGGTGAGTGAAGCTACCAGATATCTTATAAGATAATATAATATAATATGATATAATATGATATGATATGATATGATATAATATAATATAATATAATATGATATGATATGATATGATATAATATAATATGATATGATAGATATGATATGATATGATATGATATAATATAATATGATATGATATGATATGATATGATATAATATATATGATATGATATGATATGATATAATATAATATAATATAATATAATATGATATAATATAATATGATATAATATAATATGATATAATATAATATGATATAATATAATATAATATAATATAATGATCTTACTGCAGAGAAAAGTGTCTAAAACAATTATTTTCATTGGTGTTGAGATGAAAATGTTTGTGATATCTGAGTGAATCAGAGGCAGAAATAAACCAATAAAACGAGATAAAATCAATAAAACTTCTAATTTCTGTCGTCACACTCGAGCTGATTTTAACACGTGGCGATAAATTAAAATAAATTCATCAGATGAACCGAGAGCTGAAGGTCGTTAACGTCCATCTCGTCTCCAGTAACGAGCAGATGAAGCAGATTTATGGATGAGGGCGAGAGACCCTGACACACACAGAGAGAGAGAGAGACTTTAAAACCATA